AATATCATTAGTGTATTTATAAAAATCGTGAATACATAGGTAATTCTTTTTCAGATATACCAATATGCCCGAAGAGAAATGTAGGAATATACTCCAATTTAAGTATTGATACTTCTAACCTTAGCACAATTAGTACGTCCACGGAGTGTTCCGTATTCCAATGTTGTATCGCTTGTCTAAATGAGGTTTCATGTAAATACATTCAATACGATCTGACCAATGAGGGTTGTAAGACATGTTTTCTGCTGACCATAGGTTCCGGAAGCTTCAATTTAAACAACGGAGAGGTTTATGAATTGGAATATTTCAGCCAAGGAAATTTCTGATCTTCCTTTATTAAGCCGATAAAGAGGAATACTAAACCGCTTATGTATACGTTTACCATGGATGACACTACTTAACGTAACCTACCTATCTGAACAAAAAGGGATCATAGGCTGCATGCATGTTATACTTATAATTAGTTTGCTACTTTATATTTTATTAACAGTCAATCAAGTCTGTTATTGTAAATCTTTACATATGTTTTCATAAAAGGTAGCTATTTGAAAGGAACAACTAATATAGTAACTCGTAACCGAAATCACTGACCATTACTTTGACAATTCATTTGACCTATTTTCTTGTTTTTTTTTTACGTTGGTTGAATTTTGAAATTACATCTATTAAATAAAAAATGTTATGAAAATATTAAACTAATAAAATCCGAAATGAGATGATATACACATTTCTATGAGTTAAAAGGTCAAACCAGTAGAAAAAATCACGCCTGGATGCGAAAAGTGTGCACAATCAACTGTTTCAATATTATTTTAGGTATTTTTCAAGAAACCTTTGCCAGCGACAGAGATGCAGATTGGTCCGTTTATTAGAAAGCTCAATTCACATTTCCGTTAAAAATCGTGGACTTTAAGAGGTTACATCTTCAAATGGAATCCAGGAAAACAACTACTTGCTACCGTCAAATTAAAAATGTACGTGGCAACATTTCGAATGCGCTACTGGTACTTATAAGTAAATGCAATACTCGTTAATTATCACGAAATAAAAGACCGGGATTGCGCAATGTTGTTGCCAATTACTTTGACCATCGACCGTAAATGGACTACAGACGTCGTCATCCAATCCAGTAGTGTAACATGACCCATGGAATAGATTACCTTATAGTACTAGTATTTGGCAAAACCTTTCGGAATTTTGGGTCTTTAATGCTTTTCAACTTCGTACTTTATTTGGCAAGAAACACTCGTCTGGCGTACACAATGTTAATAATGGTATCTATGATGAGTTTAATTGCATTTACATTATAATCTATATAAAAATAAGAATATTTGGTATGATTGCCAATGTGACAACTCTCCACAAGAGACCAAATGAAATGAACAACTATAGGTCACCGTACGACCTTCAACAATGAGCAAAACCCATACCGCATGGTCAACTATAAAATATAGTTCACATAGACAAATGTCTGCAACAGCACTTGATATCATGCATAATTGTGAGCTTATCTGGTATTTTATCAAGAATTGAATGCTTCTTTTTTGTGATTCTATTGGGGTGTAAATCATTGACTATTTTGTATGAGGCGCGAAATCGCTTCATACTAAAAATTTGCACACGATGAACCCTTTTTCTTTCCTATAACATTGTAAAACAAGTATTTAATTCTTATAACTATATTCATACTACAATCATTTCGTTTGTTTTCTTGTGTATTTTGTGAAGGTTTCGCGGGAAGCACGTGCTTTCATGAATGTTGCATTTTATTGGAAAATAAAATCTAATTTAGGAAATGCCTCTCGATTGTTGCAAATCAAAGGTACGGATTCTTATGACTCTTATTCTTCTGCTCGCAAGGAAGCTATTAAGCCAAGAGTTCCAAATGGTGAAGTTGAAATCATCCCTTCGTAAATTTTACGGACGCCATCACGAGTTGGTTGACCGTTATGGAATAACCGTTTCACAGATGATATCGGATATGTTTCTTATGTCGTAACTACAATACCCTTCCCTTTTCACGAATGTGACTTATCGAATTAGACTATTTACCGGATTTGTAATAACATAAGCAACACGACGGGTGCCACATGTAGAGCAGGATCTGCTTACCATTCCGGAGCACCTGAGATCACCCCCAGTTTTTGGTGGGGTTCGTGTTGCTTAGACTAGTCTTTAGTTTTCTATGTTGTGTCATCTGTACTATTATTTGTCTGTTTGTCTTTTTATTTTTTGGCCATGGCGTTGTCAGTTTGTTTTCGATCTATGAGTTTGACTGTCCCTATGGTATCTTTCGTCCCTCTTTTATGAAACATTCATGTATTGTCATTATGCAAAAAACTCTACAGTTAACTTTTCAATATGATGTTGTAATAAAAAGATGTATTAATATGTTGAAAACCCCTAAGGTTACTATTTTATTTGCTTATCTTCTTTCTTTATTTCATAATTTGAAACTGGGACTAAGTTGTTTTTTTTTTATACTCAAATCATTTACAGACTAAGAAAATAGATTAATATTTGAGAATCTTAACATTATGTCAAACATTGTTAATAATGAATGAAAATATCTCTTTCTTAATTGTATGCTTCAAAAACACTTATCTTGATTAACCTTAATCAAAAACCAAAAATTTCGAAAGTCAATGATGTATGAAAACTTGGATACTTGAGAACGTAAACATTTATAATGGTACATATATTTGGTCTTTTCACCTTATCAACACTGACTTTATATTCTTCACTTTTTTGTATCCAATCTGAAAACGCAGAACAGAAAAAAACTATATATATCCGAGTTTGACATATGCTCAACTTGATTCCTTTCCAAAAACATACAGAATAGTCGTCTGATTTGTTAATAAAGCAATTGTGTCCTATTCCAGATTACGATTCTTGACTGAGTGTGGGTTTGCATTTTTGTAGATATATGCGTTGCATGAGATGCTTACCTTGTCCATGCATCCATTCATGCTCCTGTTAAAAGGTCATGCGATTCCCTCAACTTTACCTTGATTTCTATCTTCTTAATTGGTTTCTCAATCAACTAAAATTAATCTAACCCCCTCTCCCTCGGGGGAAAAAAACAAAACAAAAACATATCACCAACAGCAACAACAAAAATGTAAAAGTGAAATACCGTTTTCTTTAATTCCATCGACTGTACTAAGAAAATGTACAAACTAAAATAAAAGTTTTCATCAGTAAACGATAAGAATATCCTTTTTGCTTTTAATTAAGTGCTACATGAGCATACCACATTCATGAAAATCTGCAAGATATCCCTTTCAAATACGATCATACCGATATCGAATTGATAAATTATACTCCATATGAATAAGCCAAAGGAACATTAAATTCAAGAAAAGGCAAATTCGCCACATTCGGCATAAATTTTGGATGGACGACTTCTGCACGAACTTGTTGTATTAAACCCCCATTCCCAAAGATAACAAGGATACTGACAACTTTTTTTATTGTTTATTTAGCATGAGAAAGTATATATATATAACTCAAGGGCACACATTTTGTAAATCTGAAAGTAACAATAACATTAACGGTACCAATCTTTACTGCACCATATTCGCATTTCGATAGCTAATGTCTCTTCGGTGATGCTCGATGCCAATATAGACATGATTTGTATTCATGTGGTTTTCATCTTTTCTAATTTGCTTTGTCTATATGCCATTTTTCTTTGTTGACATATTTGTTTGTTTTTATAGTAATTAAGTTTATAACTCAATGTTGACTGCTGTACCCATAATTTTGACATTTTTACCTATTATGTCTGTTTGTTTTGTTCACACATTGTTGTCAATATAATGGAGTTTTATGCAACTGTCATACAAGTGAGAAGTTTAGCTAGCTATAAACCAAACGGCCCGAGAACACAGTTATTGCGTAGTGCATTTCTTTTAGACAATAAATGAAAATTAAAAAAATCCCACCTGCGCTTTCTCAATAATATTTTTACAGTGTGGTGTACTACTTTTAGGACAGATTATATCAAAATTATAGAAAACTTCATCAGCTCAAACTCAAAATATGAACAATTTTATGTAAAGGGGGTCTGGAATTCTTTTGACAGCTTCAGACATACTAGTTTTTAACCTTTTTCAGCTGGACCAAATCACTACTTTACTTTAAAATTCATGACCCAAATATTTTTGCTGTGTAATTTCATCCCCCTACTTGCTATTTGAGGCATAAAACATGAAGAAATAAATTAAGAAGGAAAAAATTGCAACTAATACACTGTTCACAGTAAGGAATATACTTGTAGACAACGAAAATAAAAGGACGATAACTGTGTTTTCGGACCAAACCAGGTTTGATGTGTTTGAGTTTTTAATTTTGCTATTTGATAAGGGACTTTCCGTTTTGAATTTTCCTTGGAGTTCGGTATTTTTGTTATTTTACTTTTTGTCGTTATATCTGAGCAAATGCTGGAATTAGACATGAGTGGAATAAATCAAGCGAGAAAGAAGAATGCTATATACACATTATGTTTTGTTTAAAAAGCAAGATAAAGGACAATGAAAACAAAGTACTGATTCAAACTTATACTCGGGTTTAAACACATTCAACATCAATAAAATATAAAAGACGAATACAGGAAAAAAAAAAAAAAGGAAAATAAGTAAATGGAAAATTGAGTTAATCGAAGTAAAATATACGGGACAATACAATTTGTTACCTTTATAGCGTGTCTTATTTAATGCACCGATTGATAAAGAACTTTTTTCTATAAGATAAAACAAACCTCGTAATACAATGTACAAGTTAACTGTATCTAATTTCTCTCGATTTTCTTAGAGCTTTATGAATATTCATGACTGCTTTGTTTCCGGTCTTTGTCAAACTCATGCGAAATATAGCCATATGTTTGATTAAGTGTATTCAGCTCTTCGAATGGAAATCTAGAATATTTCGAGAATAATGATTGGTCTTCTTTCTTAAAATCAAACGCCCAGATTGATACAAATCAAAATAACATTAGTTTTCTTCGTTAATGTACAGGATGGATGCATATACGTTTGTGCTATTATCAGGTATGTTAAAAACAGAAATAATTAACGCGTATATGTTTTTAATTGTCATGCGAGCCTTTTAAATTCAGTTAAATTTTTGTTCTAAATTTGCAGAAATTGCGTTTTAAAATCTGGATTTAATTTAAAAAAACATTTCTTGATGATTATTTTTTTTTCGCAATCAGTTTTTATATATACTGAAAGCTTTTTTTACCTTGCTTTGAATATGAAAATTTGGGAGATATAATATGAATGTTTGAATAATATTATTTTGAGATGATCTGATATCTATAGACAGTGGCGGATCCAGGGGGCTTAGAGGGCGAACGACCCCCGTTTGGTCGCCAAAAAAAAAGAAATAAATCCAAATATCATGTTTCTTACGACTTATATAGTTTTTTAGCCTATAATTGTCTAAAAAATGTTCGCCTCTCTCCGCTTGGCGGTATATCTAAAATAACACCCCTTTATCAAAATCCTGGATCCGCCCAAGATAGAATGAGATACAACACATTTTATTTTTCGATTAGTATCCAGCAATGTTATATACTAGTACGCTTTGAGGCAAATTTTATGTATGGACCCATGACATCGTCGTTAGGATAAATATCAAATGTTTTTTTTGTAATTACATAAATCATGCATGCATGTTGCATAAGAACCTTTAATTTTGATTGACCGACAACAAACGAGAGCCATTCCAAAATCATATCTTAATTTCCATTTAAATGCATCATTCACGATTGCACGCGGGTTCCCTTACAATGTCACAACAAGGCAGGTATAGCAAAACAAACGAAAAGATATAACTCGTAATGTATTTGGTTTTTATATTAGAAATTTAAACACAAAATAAATTTGGTGCATCCGGCGCTTGTTTTAATCTACCTTTATCAGCAACGCTCAAACTCCAAAGTCCTGACTATACGGTATGGATTTTTCTCATTGTTGAAGGCCGTACGGTTGCCTTTAATTGCTTACATCCACTTCATTTTAGCTTTGGTGGATAGTTGCCTCATTGGCAATCATACCACATCTCCTTATTTTTATAAGGATGTATAATTACTTTAATACTACAGGAGCTTGGACTTAATACGAATGGTTAAATCAATCTGAGGTAAACTTTGCCTGAGAAAGTTGGTCCCAAAATAATTTATAATTTCTAAATTTATCAGCAGAGAATTTTTAGAAAAGTATTGAATAAATAATGTCGGAACCAAAGCACCTACTGCTGAATTTGTGATACCCTCTGGAACAAACAGTCCGCCAGGAGGAGTATCGAGCCAGGGATAGAAATCTGAAAAAATATTTTTTTTTTTAAATTTAATTTGGTGCGTCCATAGCGCCTTTTTAGGATTTGTATTACGAGGAAAGGTCAACTAAAAAAAAATTGAAAGTTAAGAATGTACAAATGTAGGAATTCTTGAATTTATGCGGTGCTATATACCAAAAGTGACATAAAAAATATCCAAGAATGAACCAGCTGAACGTATTCTATTGCGACCTCCAACTACAAATATCGTCCCCTCCTATAAGTGCTTTAAAAAGCAGGTCACTGTGAAATATTGTGACAAACAAGGCTTGTATAAACAACGATACTATCTATTTCTTGATCGTTTAAATGTTTGGACGTCTGAAATTGGAAGCGTTTTGCAACTGGGTTTTTTTTTTATTCGAGCGCCGCTGTACGAATCTTATTTAGTCGAAACGTGCGTTTGACGTACCTAAACAATAAGCCTGACATATTAAATAAGCAATTTTCGTTAAAGCTCGAGATGCCTCCTTTGACAGTTTTGATTTTTTCAACTGTGTATTTTTAACTACTACATGTACATAATCTTAATACAGAGAAGTTTTCCTAATCAAACAAGGTTAGTAAATCAATTATACTGAGTACCAATAGAAACTCAACCCATACATGTTTTTCTTTCCATGTAATAAAAAAACATAAGCCCGATGGATCTTTAAAGGAAAATTAACCAACTGTTCTAAGATTTTCAAGGCTTTTAAATATATGCATACAGAATATTTCCAACAATTAACAGAACTTTCCGATTTTCAGATTTATATCGTTTACAAATTCCTTATTCTAAAAAAGATTACACTTTTGATGAACCCCTAAATCAACGGTATTCAAAGAGTACTACACATTGACAATTTTCTTTTGCAATTGGTTCAGTATTATGACGTTTGGTTGGAAATTTGTGAGATTGATTTCCACCCCTATTGGACTAAGTTTCTCTACTGAAAAAAGTTGATACCGGACAGTTATACAACATGTAGGCACATGTTTGAGGAAAACATTGAAAGAAAAGTTCAGTATTTATTTTTTATTAAAACTTCCTTCGAAATTTTCTTAAGGAACTTGTTCCCTACCATCATGGATTGAAGTACTAAGATAATGTCTGTAGCAAATCCACCTCATATATCCATATTTTAATGAATAAATTCATAGCGATAGTTTTGCTATGAAATTAAAAACAAAATTTCCAAACATGAAGAATGATCACTACTACTAGATTATTTATATGAAAATAGGAAGATTTGATATGAATGCCAATGAAACAACTCTGTAAATTCAGAAATATTGCGTGCATTTATTATTGCAATTTTTGAAAACCGAAACCAAAATGCGATATTGGTCATTGCGATTTCAGGAAAATCTCAATACGGATATTTGTATCAGTTCTTATTATTGCGATACGCACCCAATCGCATTATACGCATTATTAAAAACCTTGCAATAATTTCTGAATTTACCGTATACATCAGAGACCAAATGACGTAGACAGAAGCAACAATAGGTGACCATTCGGTCTTCAACAATCCGCAAAACCCATACCGAAAAGACAGCTATTAAAAGCCCTGCTATGACAAAAGGTAAAACAATTCAATGTTATGCCTATTATTAATTGTCGTTCCTTTGTTTGATCCTCTATATATGTAAAGAAGTAGTATCTATTTATCTCAATATACATGTACACTCTTTCAGCAGTGTGTGCAAGCCTTTCCATTCGGTTGTCAAGTGCCTTCTAAAACACAAATGTTTATGTTTAATATATAAATCTTGACTGTGCACAAGCGTAACGTATTAATAAAAACGAAAACGTCATACGATAGAGCAGAGTGTGTGTGTTCTGCTAAGAAATGGGAATTTTAAATCATCACGTTTGTCATGACTCCAGTTTGAAAAAAATAAAATGAAAACAACACTTTATAAACTTCATGCGTCCGAAGCGCTTTTCTGAATTTACTTTCATCAGGAACGCTCAAAGCCGAAGATTTGAAAGCCAAGAATGTATAAGAACCGAAACAGTTGTTCTCTCACTAAATAATACAAAATTTGGTGACTATGTTGAACGAATCTATCCCATCGAACTAGAGATAAAGGATACTACAGATACAGGTAAGTCTGCCTCATATCTTGACTTACATCTAGAAATTGACAATGAGGGTCGGTTGAAAACAAAACTTTACGACAAAAGAGATGATTTCAGCTTCCCAATTGTGAACTTTCCATTTCTATGTAGCAACATTCTAGCAGCGCCTGCATACGGAGTATATATCTCCCAATTGATACGATATTCCCGGGCTTGTGTTTCCTATCATGATTTCCTTGATAGAGGATTGCTGCTCACAAGGAAGCTATTAAACCAAGAGTTCCAAATGGTGAAGTTGAAGTCATCCCTTCGTAAATTTTACGGACGCCATCACGAGTTGGTTGACCGTTATGGAATAACCGTTTCACAGATGATATCGGATATGTTCCTTATGTCGTAACTACAATACCTTTCCCTTTTCAAGAATGTGACTTACCGAAGTAGACTATTTACCGGATTTGTAATAACATAAGCAACTCGACGGGTGCCACATGTGGAGCAGGATCTGCTTACCCTTCCGGAGCACCTGAGATCACCCGCAGTTTTTGGTGGGGTTCGTGTTGCTTAGTCTTTAGTTTTCTATGTTGTGTCATCTGTACTATTATGTGTCTGTTTGTCTTTTTATTTTTGGCCATGACGTTGTCAGTTTGTTTTCGATCTATGAGTTTGACTGTCCCTCTGGTATCTTTCGTCCCTCTTTTGAGGAGCTACTACCTAAAAGGACCTAAAAAGCCAACTCCATCTAAGGTCAACTTTGCCTGATGGAATTGAAACCTATGTTTCTAATAATACTTGTTCATCTGTGTCCATATCTAGAAAAAAAATCGGTAGTAACCTTAATCTTTATTCGATAGGATACATGAGATGAAAGCGTTCACTGAAATGTGGGTTAGTGATTTATGTCCGTTTGTTTTGTTCACACATTGTTGTCAATATAATGGAATTATATGCTACTGTCATACAAGTGAGAGGTTTAGCTAGCTATAAAACCAGGTTTAATCCACCATTTTCTTCATGAGGAAATGCCTGTATCAAGTCATGAATATGACAGTTTTCCATTCGTTAGATGTGTTTGAACTTTTGATTTTGCCATTTTATAAAGGACTTTCCGTTTTGAATTTCCCTTGGAGTTCGGTATTTTTGTTATTTTACTTTTTTTTAGTAAATGACAAGACATCACCAGTACACTGGAAACTAAAAATAAATAACTTTGACAGATGCATTTTCTATTTTATCTTGGAGAAGGTTTTGTATACATTCTACTTCATATAAGTACCCAATCGATACACAATTAGTATTCATTGAAATTCCTACCTTAAGCTATATTTTTTTCTATATGTTCATTGTGATTTGTATATATCTATCTGATAGTGTTAATCGGACTTTTACCTCAATTTCATTGATGATTAATACTAGTAATGTTAGGTTATTGTGATACCTGTTATTAGCTTTCAGATTCAAAGTATCTCAACATAAAATTAAATTTTAATTAGTAAAGCAGGTGAGACTTTTTATTGTATATTCTATTTGTTAAAGCTACGGTGATGTCTTAATTGAAATATGTTTCTCGTCCTATTTGTTATTCGGTATCAGTTTTTAGTTTTTCTATTTCATGTTAGAAGTATGCTACCTTTAAAAATT